AAAATATACATTTATGGTCAGGTTAGCATGACCTGACAACAAAACCAGCAAGGACAAAAACAACCCTGAATGCACCAGCTAGAGTGCTAGAAGATTTATTTTAGTGGGTGGGAAATGGCTTGATGTTTATTTAAACTATGATTCGCAGATGGGGGCCAGGGGGTGCTTAAGTGACAGTTAATGGGTTAGTCTACAAAAAAAGGAGAATCTGGGCAAAAAACTGAGCTACAGCTTCACGTGGGAATGCATCTCCCAGAGGAGAGGTCACTGGGATCCAGGACACGCTGCACAGGCATAGCTGAACCTCCTACTGCCAGGATGGCCTCGGGTAGCTGTTCCTGAAGAAGCAGGGTAAGTAACTGTGTGCTTCAATGAACTCGTGCAGTGGCCAGGAGGAATGGAAGAGGTCAAGATTTTCAGGCCAAGAGGGACATTCTGTTGACATTCCATCTCGTGGGGGAAAATAAAGTGAAACGTTTTGGGTTCGTTCCAGTGCAGAACAGTCGAGGGTTTTTTTGGTGTCAGAAAAGCAATGGAAGATAGATCTGCCATCCTTTGGGCAGCTGTAATAACAGCTCCTCCTGTAGCATCTTCCCACTTGGGTGCACATCACCTCTGATGTATTTGTTGATAAGTCAAAGAGGCTCAAAAAAGAGGCTAAGAAGCAAAATTTGAATCATTTCACATCTCTCATAAAGCATGACCAGTGCAGAACAACACACAGTGCCCACTGACAAAAACACTGAGCACTGCTTTGTGGCAGTGGATGTTCATCAACAGCTCTCTTTTCCAAGTGCACAGGAGGATGTTCACACTAAAAATGACTACTGGCCAGTGAATGTTAGATTTCAGTGTTCCAATTTTTCTACACTCAGAAATCCAGTCTCCAGACATGAACAGACAGTTTGCATGTCATCTTACTCTCCACTTCTTCAAAAACAAGGCACGCCAAATCCACCCTAGCTTCAGCAGGTAGATGAGAGGCTAAGAAAAACTGGTTTTCTTGAGCAGGATTAGCTTGAGGTGCTTCTGAGATAATCTGTCTGCCTTTCAGGCACTGTCTAAATACTCAGAGGCACCCATTTGTCATCACTGCTGCATTATCCCTGCCAAATGCATCGTCCTTGCATGATGGAGCTACCTGACCTGCAGGGTAGGAGTTTGCATGCCTCCTACCTTGCATGTGCTACCTCCTGGGGAGGAAAAACACGGTTTGTGGTCTGTCTGTGACCAGCTGAACAGCAAGACTGCTCAGATATTGCAGGGAGACACATTGCTGAACTCTGATCACTCTGTCCCAATGGCCTAGAATGGCACAAGCTGGGTTTCAGGAATGTGGACAGTAGATCCAAAAAATGACAATTCAGCAGGGCTGAAGGAGCAGTTTCAGTTTCTTGAGGCAGATAGGAGGGGTACAAACACCACCTGGACAGTTATCAATGTCCTGTTAAGAGCAACAGGATGGCAAGGCAGCCTAGGAAAACTAATAAAAACACAAGTCCTGCTTCTATGTGTACCAAATTTTCTTAGGCTCAAAGGGTTTCTCTAAGATTTGAACAAATAATAGGATCAGAGGGTTTTGAGACGCTCCCATCGACTCACATAAGGAGCTTGATTCAGCCCCCAGTGCAGTCAGTAAGTTTTTTAAAAAGAAATCTCCAACTTAAATCCAGCTATTGTGATTTACACCAGCTGAGGATCTCTCACCCTGCCTGCAATGGGAACATGACCAGGCTGCCTGCCAGCACTTCTGGCTTTGCTGCAGTAGGAGTGACGTTCAGGTATGCGTGACCACTCACCATCAGATTTCTTTACAATGACAAGCTTTGAAGTCAGAGCACTTTGCTCTCCTTCCACAAACCATTTTCACTCAAAACAATAACTATTTAAATGGGAGCCTCACCAAAGCCATTTCAGATTTTTTTTTTTTTTTTTTTTTTACTTCTTTGGCAGTGGTAAAATATAGTTAAATCACAAAAAAGAGACACCTGCATCATAGGCTGGATATCCCAGCACTAAACTACTTCCATTTACTTTCAGTGCTGGGAGAGAAGACACCAGTGGCTTCACCCAATGTTACACTGAAACCTAGAATAAAATTGAGCTAATTACTCTCATTGCTGAAAATCTTGTTACCCTCCTCCCTACAAAACCCACTAAAAGTTGTCTTTTCATAGCCAGCGGGGCTGCTAGAGGCTTGAATGTGATTTGTGGACCTCATCCTGCCTATTCAGAGCAAAAGATAACACCTGCGGGAAGCAGGCGAAAGGTTAAAACCTGGTACCTCTGTGTTTTCCTAAGTGCAGAGCTTGGCACCAGAACAGAGCCTGGGAACAATGGCAGGAGCATTGTGCCTGTTTTCTTTTCCCTTAAAGTAACATTTTTGCTGCAGTGTCATCTTTCTGCTCAGCCAAGCAGGCGCTCTGGGTCAAATCAGCTGCGTGAGCCGTCAGCAGATTTTTCTGGCCCTCTCAAAAGATCTTCAGGCATTGTCCTAAGAAGCCAAATCGGTGAGAAAACAGGAAAAAAAAAATAAAAAAAAAAAAGAAAAGTGGACAGACTGCCCACACGTTTTACCGGTCAGGCGCTCGCATGACTGTGAAATAATCAGCATTCTTTTGGTGAAATGCAGCAGCTTTAAACCAGCAATCTGGCTTCGCTCTCTGGAAAACAGTGTGCTTTCTGGAAAAAGCTAAACCCAGGGTATTACAGCCTGACAGCTTCAAAATTCCTCAGACCTCCCGCAGGAATCGCTCACAAAAGAGCAGGCTGGATGTCATCCACCCATCCCAGGGCTGGATGTCAGGGAAACAGACCCTCTGATGGAAAACCCTAAGGGAAGGCATAACTTCCACTTACACCATCTTTTATGTTTTGGCTAAGTGGCTTGTTTACAGTTGTTGGATTTAGGCGAGGAAGGCTTCACCTCTCCTTACAGTTTCTGTAATGCAGCTTTGGGACCTGTTGGGTCACTTCCCAAATAGAGAAAATAGGAGAGATTTTCCTAGAGTTCTTTCACACATTTTGGCAGGGATCCTGCAGCAGCCACGGACACAAACAGCACAGAGGACAGTCCCACTTTCACAGCCCTTTGCACAAACCATACCCATTTCTGGGAGGCACCATGCACCAACTCTGCAGACAGACAAGAGGCACTGAACAAAATTCATCCCTACTTGCCAGGATTTCTATAAATCATTAAAAAAAGGACCAGCATTTTTAATCTGAAGCAGCATTTTTAAAAATAAATAGCATTTTTTTTAAAAAAAATTTCTATACAAAATTTCTTCAAGGGCTATTGCTATCCCAAACAAAAGAAACTGAGGACTTACACATGGCACTTCTACACATAACAGCTACCACAAATCCCTGTGGTTGTGGTGAGAATCAACAGATTGCTTAAATTGATGAAGACAAAAGTTTAATTGCTCATAATTTTGCCACACAGAACCATTTGGGCTCAGACTTTCCAATGCCTGGGACATATAACTCCATTCTTATGAGAGAAAAATAGGAGACCATCTAATTAGAAATTCTATGATTTGGCATATTCACACATGAGCTGAATTAAGGCAGAAAAGGGCATCTTCAATTCTCTGTTTTGCAGCCTAACTAAATTGTTCAATTTAATTTTATGTATTTGTAAATTTATTTAATTTGGTAATGTGATGGTAAGTGAATGCTAATTCCTGGTACTTGGCGAGCAGAGGACTCAATCATTGTTGTGCATTAAGTAACAGAATATGGCCTTAATTTCTGTTTGTATGGTACTAGAGGAGTAGCCCTCAAGCTTCCCTGCTGCCTCTTCTCATGTGAACTTCCTGCAGCCTGGACTACAGTGAAAGCCAGATAAAATCATTTCTAAAATGGGACGGAGGCCTGAAATGCAAATCAGGGGAAGAAGTCATCAGAAAAGGGGTCTTCATACAGATTTGGTAGGTTATCAGGTCTTTACCTGCCTGGTAATCAATCCTGGTGCCTGATCAGCTCCAGGGGATGGACCCAGGAGGAGCACAAAGGCTCTTTATTCCCTCTGCTCATGTTGTGACTCTGCTGTAAAGCCTGGTTCTCTGGGAAGGGCAAGGTGGAGCTGGACATGGGGCCTATCAGGTGACGTTAATGTTCAGTCAAGATATGGACCTTGTGTTTGAATGAGACAGACAGTCTTTGAAGAACATAATCTGTGTTGCCAACAATGGCTGGAGTGAAAGGAGCTCGCTCTGGTTACCTCAGAGGATGGACTGGTAAAGCAAAGTTGGATTCTTATCAAGATGTTGGGTTTGGGTTTTTTTAATCATTGATTCATATGGTAATGGCTGTGAATACACAATGCAAGGTCTTCAAAGGGAGGAAACGTAAGAAGGGTATAGTTTCACCCAGTTCACGTTAAGGTTCCACACTTTTGTCCTGTGTGATTTTTTTTTAAATCACATAAACCCTGCTATCCTTGCAGGGACAAATTCTATCCATGTATTTTCAGATTCCCTCCAATTCCAGTTGGATCCAGGCTCAGCAGCAGCAGTGAGAAGCAGCAGCTCTCCTGGGGTGCTGTGTTTCTCAGATTGACCTTAGCTCTGTTTACCCTTGCTTCCAAAGTTTGGGCCAACATCTGCTAAATAAGCTGCTGAGTGCTGGGGCGATGGGGACAGGGAGGGGGGTTAAAAACAAATGGGATTGTGCTGAAATGAGAGAGGAGTGAGAGGAGCTCTAGAGAGATTGTTGTGGGTCAGCACACAGAGGCAAATCCCTTTGAATCAATAGAAAACCATCTTCTGACATCTCTGACCCAGTTTTCAAGCATGCAGAACATAGCTATCCAAAGTTCATGTTTCCAGTTCCGATTGAAGCACTCTCCTAATACCCAGACAAGCCACACTGCTCTTTCTTCTGTTTCATCTCCATTTCCAGCACACTGGAAATACCCATGCAGCCAGTAGTGGCTTCACCCATACAGATTGGTTAAGGAGGGCAGTAGCTTATATTCAAGACAGCAGAATCTCTTTTCTCTTCCACCAAAATTCAATTTAATCATCCCAAGCATCATGGGAAGCATGGGGGATAGAAAGATGTTTTCAAAGCTGATGGTGTGTTCACTCCAACACATCACAGTTTAGACCCTCACTACCACCAATCACAGCATTTCACAATCACAGCTCCTCCCTGATACAAGAGGGGTCTGACTATGTCACTCAGGACTCTAGGTCTGTGCAGTGGCCTGCACATCATCATTGGAACAGGCTGCCCAGGGAAGTGCTGGAATCACCATCCCTGGAAGTGTCCAAAAGGCACGTGGATGTGAGGACGTGGCTTAGTGGTGAACACAGCATGGGTGAACAGCTGGACCCAGTGACCCTGGAGGTCTTTTACATCCATAACAATTCTATGGTTCTATCCTGTGCTTGTGCTTCCTTAGGCTTTTGGCAAGGGCACACTAAACAAAGTTCATCCCTCCTGGCAAGTGTGAGGACACTCAGCAGGGATCAGATATGTAGGTATTGTCTCACATCTACAGCCTTCCCAATCTTGAGATCCCTCCAGCTAGGCCACCATCCAGGCACTAATCCTCCCCTTATTTACCAGCAAAGTGCTCCTTAAATAACTATATCCTCAGGATTCAGCATATGCCTTTAAAGCATCAGGATTAACATCCCTTAAAAAAGAAAAACTGGGTAATATGAGAGCAGATATTCCCATTATCAACATATCTACATATTTTTTAATCCCAACCAGCATCTGGTCCTGGTATTATCTCATGGCAGTATGTTCCAGAGCTTATCTGGAATAACTTTGCTTTTCAGCACCTTCAAAGTTCCCTGAATATTTCCTTGTTTGTCTGTCAGGCTGCTTTTGGCTTTCTGGACAGCTCTGTTCATACTCAAGGCATCCAAGAAACAGATTCCAGCTCCTCTAAGACACTGAAAAGAAAAAGAAGGCAAATGAGGTTCTCCTGGATGGAAAGCTATTCCATACACAGCATTAGTGAAATCAGCACAGTGTCATCTGAGGTGAGCACAAGACCAAGAAAACAATCTCAGTACCTTACAGGCCTCTATAGCAGATCTTGAAACCCTGAGAAATCCAAGGTGCCTAATTAGCCAAGAAAATTGGGTAAAATGCAACATTTCTTAATCAAAGATGCCAGCTAACCATGAATCTGCTTTTGAAATGAAAACTAATTTTCTACACATTAAAAGGTGGTGCTGAGTTTGAACAAAGCACCATTGGCTCCAGCCAGTCACACAGAGAAACTGGGTGGAACTCATCTTGTCTGAAAGAACCTCACTGAGACATGCTGGGAATTATCAGTGAGCAGGAAGAGATGGGGACCAGTAAAGTGAACTGGTCAGTCCCTGGGCAGGAATCCACCCAATATCAAGAAAAAATACCAACCTCTAGGAACCTTCCCTAGCAGAGTTCTTCCAAAAGGATCCACAGGGTAAAACTTGCTAAGGGAAATCACTAACACTTTTGGCAGAGCATAACACAGATTTTAGAAGCTGGAATGCTCTGTCTCAGGGTCTCCAACCCATTCACCACTCCAGGCACAGAGCTGGATGCCACAGCTCTGGCTGATTAGAGGTAACCTGCCATTTTCCACTGGAAGCATTTATATGAAGCATCATTATTCTTGTTTTACACCTGGGAAACTCACCCACATGCTGGTGATGGCAAAGACAAAAGGGACTTCTCTCAGATCAGTGACTGATCAAAGATTTAAATGATGGTTTGTTAAGTGCCAGATGAGAACAGGAACCATCAGTCTTTCTCTCCCCATGGTTGCACCCTTAAATTACTCTACTGGAACAGATCTCACGTGCATCCATCCTACATTGGGACATTTAAGGGTTAAATAGGGATAACAAAGCATTTTCTCTGCTTGTGGTATAACATTCAAAATCTATTACAAATAAAAATTACAAAGGAAGCTCTACTGATAAATGTCACAGTGAGAACTCCCTGAACTACATTTGTAGTCAAAAACAGCAAAATCGCAATCTAAGTCTGTTCAGTTCACCTTTAAAACAAGAAAACTAGAAAAAGGAGGGAGTTGAAATCTGTGTCACTTGATAGCTCCTGGCAAACTCTTCCTGGCTTTATGGTTATGCTTCTAAATCCTCTCAATTTAATGGTGTAGGTTTCCCTATTTTTAGATCACAAATTAAGGCAGCTCTGCTTTTTCCCCTGCAATATTTTCTAACCAGACCACGATTATTAAACTTAGCAGGCAAAGAAGCAATAGCGCCCTTTAAATAAAAAAAAAACAAAAAACCAAACCACTGTACAAGCAGAATAACCACATGGCTGGAGAAAGAAAATCACTCCCAGGGGCTGACAGACCTCTTGAGTTTCCACTTCAGTGGCCCAGGAGGCAGCTCTGCTGCTGGGACTCCCGAGGTCCCGGAGGTGCCAGGACCTTTGGCGACCGACGGAGGAGCTGCCTTGGCACAAGGCTCCCCTCCAGCACAGGTCACCCACAGGTCTGCGCTGAGTGTCAGCCCAAAACACTTGGGCTGGACTGTGACCAAGGAGCCCCCAGTTTAATGCAATCCTCAGGGTGAATTTGGCACCTTGCTGCCCCTCATCTCTGCCCGGCTGCAGTGGGGCTGGGGGTGTCTGCACGGGAGGGCACGCTGTCCTCCAGATTGTTTTGAAACAACAAGAAAAAAGCTTATCATAATCCTCCTGGCAATTACAGCCTGGCTGGCTGCAAAGTGCAATGCATTTATCAAAACCTCCTTTGAAGGCGCTGAGGGAAGTGAATTTGAAGCTGTTGGGGACTGCAGGAGTAAGAGAGCCCAGCTGCTCCCAGGGAGCCTGAACTGAGGCGAGGGGGCAGAGGGAGGAGGGAGAATTTCCCTCTCTGGGACATGCACGTTTCCCATCAGCCTGTGTGGATATTTCAGGATAAATAACACGTTATCTCTCGCCGTGTGTCTCTCGAAAGCTCCGCCGATTACAGCTGGCACGCTTAGGGGGCTCTTCCTGCAAACTCTGCCAAAAAATTAACACTTCTGGAGCCATAAATCATCCCAAACCAGGCTTCTTCTGCTCTCTTCCCCCACCAATGTGAGAAAAACCCAAACCCCTCACAAAAAAAAAAAAGAGAGAGAGAAAGTTGCCAGTTTCATGAATGTCAGGAGGACAAAACTGGCAGCTTTTGCCATTTTTAAAACATGCATCAGCATGAGCTTCCCAGAGGCAACTCATACACAGCAATATGTTGAAGGGACTCATCTGCCCTTGCCATACACTGAGGCTCTGGTTCAGTAGCGTGAGGCAGGATTAAAACAAGGTAGTCTTGTAAAAACCATCAAAAGTAACAGGCTGGAGCACAGTTGCCAGAAGTTCTTCCAGCACAGACTGGGTGCTGGCATCTGATTAAATTCTCTAAACCCCTTTATTTTCCAACCTGGTGCCCGCTGCTCTCTCTACAGCCCTAGAGACCTCTGGACATGCTTTTCCCTCTCCCTGCTATTCACAATTACAAGTCTCCTTACAGGGCAGGAGGAGGAAAATTGCTCATGATGCTCTCTCTTCTCATCTGCTTCTCTCTGTCCACTGCAGGCATCCAAACCTTGGCCACAGGACATCCTCCTTCTCTTGGAGCAAGATGATGTTCCCACTGAGCACAGACCATACCCCTGGGTTTTTATGCTGTAATGTAAGTGCTGTCCCTCCAGCAGGCAGGGAGGTGGATCAGGACACCAAACCTCCCCTGCCTTAGGGGAAGGAGCTGTGTCCAGCCCATGGGGCAGCCACCCAAAACTGCTACAGCTCTTTGCAGAAGCTTTTTGGCACACGCAAGCCCTCAGCACAAAAAAACAAAAGGGGTGTCAGAATAGGGAGTGAAAGCCATGGGAGAATGGGAATAAGCAGATGGGAAGGTAAAGATGTATTAAAGATTAATTAATTTGCCCCGAGCAAACTGTCTGCACAGAGCAGCACCCCTGTGTCATCTCCTTGCATCTCCACATCCCCTTCCAAAACAGCTTTTCTCTTCTGCAAGGCTTTGTTCATACAAAACCACTGAACAGTCGTTGCCTTGAGTATTATTTTAATCATTCCCAAATGCCTTTCCTTCGGAGGATTCCTGCAGAGATCCCAAGCTGGGTTCTCCACCAGAGTAAATCAGCCCAGCTACTGTAGCTGGGCTGCTGATTTAACATCTCCTAGGGACCCACCCTCCTCCCAGCCAGCTCCACTCCCTCTGCTCACCCTGCACAAGCCTCGTCTCAAAAGCTCCCGGCAAAACCTTGCTCTGCATCCTCCCCTACACAGGGCTATTCGTGGGATTTAAGGAATGTGGTCAATATATTGCAATGAAAAGGGGCACTGTACCGAATTTATAGATGGGAACATTGCAGGGATGAGAGCCTGGGTGTAGTGGCCTTCCATCTGTGACAATGTTACGGGGGTGACAACAGCAAAAACACTTTGATCAATCCCGGAGTACAAACGCAGGTTTATATCCTTGCCATCTGGCAGAGTATCATGTTAAGAGCTGAGCAGACAACAGTGGCTGCTGCTACACAGTGTACCATATACCAGTAAAAGCTGAATGGATCTGCAATAGAGCACACTTTAGAAATAGCTGTGAAAGGAAAATCTAGGCCACTAAGTGCTGTTAGAAACAATGTCCTTATATTTTTTCTCTTTCCCTTGCTATTCTCCTCTCTCTTGCTTCTGCTCTTGGGATTCCTCTTCCCTCCCTTTTCCCAGCACTGGTGGCTGCACAGAAAGCTATCAAGTGAAATGCTGAACCTAAACTAAAGGTTGTGTTCATTTAACAAGCATTAAGTATGGGTCAGGAGGGGCAGAGTGGCAGCTGCCCTCACAGCTGAGGCCATTCCCCCTCCATAAATGAAGGAGGCAAATGGGTGAAGCGCAGCATCCCCACGAACAGAGGAGGTGGCTGCAATCTCTTCTTTCCTGCTTCTTCCTCCCCTACTCAGCATGAAGGCAGACCCACACTGACCCAGAGACCCATGGATAAAACCTGGGACTAGTGTAATCACTGTCTTTTGCACTTCTGCAGAGCTTCCTCAGCACAAGACGCTTCAGTCGTTCCCTGAGCCTTGCCCAAAGCAGCTACAAACTCCCAGCTATGACAATCCACCACTGCTCAGTGGTGAACATCCTCTGCAAACATCTCAAATGCAGATGTCTCAGCTCAAATGCCTTTTCCTAGAAACTAAGTGGACACTTCACTGCACTTCTCACATGCCAAAAGCTCAGACACATGCATCTGATGGGCATCAGGAGGAGCAAAACCTTCTTTCACTCACGAGTTCACCAGAGCTGAAGGATATCTGCCCAAGTTAGTAGCAAAGGCAGCAAGAGATTGGTTCCCAAAAGTTGGTTTCAACAACAAGACCACCACTCCTGCGTTATTTAACCTCACAGGCCACAAACCTCAACCCAAAACATCATTCTTCACACCAAGCTGTACAAAATGTCTCAGACACCAAATCATCACACAGAACTGCCAAGGGGGACTCTGCAGTGACACGCTGGAGAAAACACCGTGGACAATGGCACATCTTCCATGGGACCCCATGGGATCTCTTCTCTGTTTTGGTATGCACTTCTCATTAAATGAGTAAGAATATTAACCAGCAATTAGACAGAAGAAAAATTTAGCCTGCCAGTCAGGTCTCATTGTTACTAAGCTTTCCTATCAGGAAATAGAAGGGTCTCAGAAGGGAAGCAATGGAAATGATCACTCAAAACAACTGAACAGGCTGCTAGACTAGACACTACAGGCAGCAGTCCTGACCTGGCAGGAAAACCCAATAGCCCTATTCTTCCTCTTTGGCATCTGTGATCCTACAATTGCTCAGTCATTTCAATAAATCCTTCAGCTCCTCTGTCTGGTTTCATCATTTTATGGGCTCAATTCTCAAAAGAACTCATTGCCCATCATTCTGGCCAGCTTTTCATCTTCAGCTGCAACTGTGATCTTCCCAAGTGTGCTCAGCACCCAAAAGCCATCTTTGCAAAGTCCCAGGGGCAGGCATTACCTTGCCAAGACCCTGAAGCACTGAGTGCCTATTCCATGGCTGCCTAACTCTTCAACAGGAAGAAATGTCTGCATGATGCTCTTATGGATGTTCACACTGTCAAAAGGGCTAGATACTATTTTCCCAAAGTAACTTGACCCATTTAAAGAACTTCTCCAGGGAAGCCAGTTGAATATCTCTGACATCTGCACTACCACAGACACTCTAGTATTAACCATTCCCTTTATCTCACTATATTTTTGCTGATAGCTGAACTATGCAGTGCAGTGGTTCTGGCATCCCAGCAATGGCTAGTTATCAGGAGCAAGAAAGCACGAGGTCTGGGAACTCACTGAAAACATTCAGAGGCGATACATGAGGGACTGGGAGAGATTAGACAGGGCTTGCTGGGGCTCCAGGAATTCCTGCAATTCAGGGGTTACGTGGCAAGATTTCTTTTTTGCATGGGACAGCAGTAAGAAGCAAGACAGAATTTCCATTTCTCTTTAAAGCTGTTTTCCCAAAACTGTCACACATATACAGCTTCCCCTGGTTTTTCTCCACTGTTTGAACCAGATGGGGTACCCAGGGCAAGTCCCTGGATTAACAACCCTCATGTACACTGGAGAGGCTCAACCAGGCTCTCGTTTCACCGGGAGCTAAAAACTTTGGAGCCTGACTGACAACATCCACAGCTGCCTGCCTGGCAATTCACCACTTAGAAAGGGCTAATTAGTATGAGGTAATTAGTTTCAGGCAAAGAATGTTTGAAAAATAATCTGTGTAAGGTCAGCCATCCCACGTTTTGTTCAACATACTTTTTTCTTCTCTGCTGCTGAAAGAGATCCCAGAAAGATGATGTAAGACACCTAAACCAGGCAGATGCTGGAGATTCAGAGAATCAAGTGTTAAACATACTAAAATGCCTAAGGATGCAACTTCAACCCTAAAGGCTTCTGATGTAACAGGCATATAAAATGTGAAAGTTTCATGGATGATGCTAATTATCCTGAAAGCTAATCTCCCTTTCCCATACGCCTCCACACCTAGGTTCTTGCTTTTCCAGGGGAAAAAAACAAGGCAACACAGAAGTGATCCAGCAGAAGACAGAAGTGCTGACAGCAAGGTCTGGCCAGAGTTGTGGCTGAATTCATTTGCCACTGGGCTCCTGCCCGGTCATGGGGCAGCTGTGAAAACAAGGCCATTGGGAAAGCACCACGTGAAGCCAGAGTGGAAATGCCAACACAACCCCAAAGCAACAGCAGCCAACCTCAACCACAGACACCACAGTGACAGCTTTCTTGCATTGTTGTTGTTTTTCCCTAAAATAGCCTGTAAGATAAACAGAGCCAGTGATTAGCTAAGTGCCATCCTCTCTCATAAGTGCTTGGCCATTATCTTCTCCTGACACCTAACATCTAATTGCAGAGCAACACCCCAGCAGGACAGCCTGTCCCAAGAGGGACTGAATGGACTGACTGGAGACTTAAAAAAAATGAAGGGAAAATAAAGCTTGTTGGCATATCCAAGAAATGAAAAGGTTGTACTCCAGCAGGGTTAGCATGTCAGAATGGGGATTTCAACAGCAACAGCGCTGGAGAGGTTGGCTACCTCTCAGAAGCACACCCAGATTCCAAACTTGGGTCTGGTAAGGTTTCCCAGCCACAAAAATAGCCACATGCTCCCTGTCAACAAGACCTGGGCTCTTCCCTCTTTCCTTCCTGTTTATAACACATCTTCTCAAGGATGTCAGCAGAATCAGCAGCTCTCTGTGCTCCAGAGACAGCGCCTGTCTCACCAAGTGAAAAATCTCCACAGGAAAAAAAACAACAGGGTGAGGTAGAATTATCACTCTTTTGCCATCTTTTTTTTTTAAAAAAAAAAGTCGTTCATTTCAATGATCCTGTTTGCCAAGCAAACATATGAATAACGTGATCAGCACAGTGGAAGAGCAACATACCAGCCCTGTGGGCTCTGGGACTGACAAAAGCCATCCCTGCCCTGAATGCAGGACTGAGTCCCCCATAAACATGACACGGTTTAAGTGTTTGTTGCAAAAAGAAAGGTATCATATTTGAGAACTTCATGTTTCCCATGCTGGAGAGAGAAAAATATTTGGGCAGGGACAGCAAAGGGAAGGCTGTGTGTCTCCACAAGCACCACAAGGAATGCACAAGCACACGCAGCACCAGCTAGGGACAAATATGTAGCCCCCTTTGTCTCTTTTTTCTCTCAGTTTACTCTTATTTCAACTTTTTCCCAGGAAGAAAGTTATAGTTTATCACCCATCCAAGATGCAGGGTCAAGTGTCTCTCACTCTTCCTCTTCTAAAAGGGAGAATACATTTCATTCCAGATAAGAGATTTGATCATGGGGATCCATATCCTGAGCCAGCAACCTGAACTCAAGATGAGGAGCACCTCACTGTCCTACTCTTCCTGTGTCTTGGCCTTTTTGGAGACATCCCTATTTACGTTTTCTTCTTACACAAGTATGTTGGTCTCAATAAAAGTACCCAAACAATTTCAGGAAATCTTCATTTCCCAAGAAATATTTCCATCAACTCTCGTGGTAACTTAACTTTCCCTAAGTATGCACAATGTGAGCCCAGCTGCAATGAGTGTGTTGTGTAAACCTGGTGAGACTGCTGAAGTCAGCAGATGTGGTGTGGGTTTGCAGTGCTCTCTTGGAATGAAGAACTTTGCCTTCCATTTATCACAAACTTCCTTGCTAAAGAAACACTCTTAAAATGGCATTCACATTTTCAGTAAATGCTGTAGAAAAAGAAACAGAAAAGACCATCAATTACCAGGAGAAAAAAAAAAAATGTTCTCATGCAAATAATATACAAATCTGCCATGATTTGGTAATACTTAGCTTAATTTGACAGCTATTCATACCATCAGACAAGTATTGATTATAAATAAAGAATGAGAAACTTGTGTTTAAATCCTAAGCAATTAATAACTAAAGACAGACAGAGGCAGATGAAATCTGTCAGAACATGGAAAGGATCCACTAACTGCATTGCACATAAGTTGCAAAAGTAGACAGCTTTTACTGCTTTTCAGAAAGACAGACTTACAAGAGAGGTTAAAATGATGATGCTTATCTGTGGCTGCAGCTCCCCCCTGAACAGGACGATGCCACATCTGCCAGGCACCTTTCAGGTGTCCTATCCCAGCTCCTCTGCTCCACAAGGGAAGTGGGACATGATCAGCATCCCCCTCATACTCAGATTTTCATCCTGTTAGTCAGGTGACTTCCCTATTGAATTAACTTCCTTTTCTTTAATGTCTCTAAGGCTGAGCTTTCCAACATAAGTCCCATTCATATTTAATCTCTACCTCTATTTAACTTGTCAAGGCTCTAATAAATAAGGACAGCACTCTTGGCTGAAGGCTTTCCTCCGATCTGCTTGGTCCAAACAGGCCCAAAGAAGAGGATATAAACCCCACAGTTCACATCTGGGAGGATGCAGCCAGCAGCAGGGCATGGAGGCACCCCAGCTACACATCACACCCACCACAGAGCCATGGAATCTGAGGGTGGAAAAGACTTCTGAGATCATCCAGTCCAACCCAAGACCCAATATCAGCATGGCACCACATCCAGTCTCTCCCAACACCTCCAGGGATGGGGACTCCACCACTGCACCCCTTCAGACTGAGACAGCAGGCTCCAGCTCCCACCTTAGCCTTGCTTGAAGGTCACAGCTAAGCCCTGAGAGAAGGAAGAGAACAGTCACATGGTGAAAATGGCCACTACACAGGTTAAGTAAAAGCAGTTTTGAGGACTGCAGGAGGCTGGGATGCTGGGTTCACTACAGTCTCCTCTTGCCTTGGAAAGAGACCACTTTAGAGAGTCACTCCACTTGTTTTTTCAGGAGCAGGAACTGACCCCACTCTTTTGGCCCTCTTGGAGCTGCTTTGCCTCTGAGGCCTAATTCATTAGTGCAACTTATGCTGGCAGAAATCCCATAAACACCAATTAAATAAAAGTGGCACGTGACAGGACAAGAACTGACTCTGGCCAGAAACACCATAAAGAAAAGCTCCAACTGCAGTGGTTGAGAAATCTGGCTTTTATTTGACCACACTTTCATCTCTTTTTTCTCCTGAAACCCTTGGTGTCCTCACTGCTCGCAGCTCAAGAGCTGGACCCGGTCACCAGGACCTTCCCCCATCTCTCCTCTGTCACATCCTGCCACAGGCCCCCACTCCTGCCATCCCCACACACTCAGGGCACATCAGCCCTTCCCACCTTGTGTGCTCCATCTGCCATGTCACACCCTGCCCAGCCCACCACCAGCCCAGCCCCTCGCACACTGCAGCAGTCCAGATCACTCACTCACTGACAGAACAAAGAACAAGCCCTTCTCTGCCTCAGCTGCCGGTTTTTCCCCCCCAAACCTCCACAGCAGTAGACATTTATCTGAAAAAAAGTCACCTTTGAAGCCAAAACCCATCTGGGGGCTGGATGCTGGGAAGAGGGGCCCTTTTCTGTCCGTGCTGTCCAGACGCTCCGGCAAGCAGCGCTATCTCAGCTTGGCTCCCTGCTCAGCCCCAGGAAAACGTGGCTCCCCTCTTGACTTGCTATTTAAAACCTGTCCCAAGACTGGCGCACGGCGGTTTCAGATTAACGAGCTGGAGCCATCGGGGGCGGGCAGTGTCCCTGTCCCCTGCCCAGTGCCAGGTGCCCCCACAGCAGAGCTCCTGCCTCCTCTGTGTCACACCAGCCCATTTAGTTACTGCTGGCTTTGACTTTCTGTTTAATTTAAGGAGGATCATTCCCTAAAACCCATCAGAAGCTCCAGCTGCAGGGGAGTGGAGGCTCAGTCGGATACAGTGCATAAATTTAAGGGTTTACTGCATTTACACATCCCCTCTCAGCACACTTTACCAGAATAGCTCTTTATCTGCAGACATGGCTCGTTGACCCAGGCTGAATGTGGAGCCTGTACCAGGGTGAACAGCAGAACTGAAACCACTTGGCTCCCTGAGTTGAGTCCCTCCTCCCAGCCTGCTCCCTCTCAAGAGCTCACAGCTGCCCAGCCCGCTGCTCCGGGCACTGAAAGCCTCCTCCATCAGGGGCTGGCACCAGATGGGTGTTTTGTTTCACATACCATCTCAGAGATTTTGAAATATGGACCAAAGTGAAACAGCATCAACACCTAAAGTGTGGAAATTGTCTTACAAGGAAAATCTTATTTTCCTTTAGAAAACAATGGACATGTTGGAGCGAGTCCAGAGGAGGCCCCAAAGAAGAACTGGAGCATCTCTGCTATGGGGACAGGCTGACAGCTGGGGATGTTCAGCCTGGAAAAGAGAAGGTTCCATGGAAACCTTCTAGCAGCCTTCCAGTATCTAAAGGAGATTTATAAAAAACACTTATAAAAAAGGATCTTGGTCAGGTAGGTAGGACAAGGGGGAATGGCTTTAAACTGAAAAAAAGAAAAGGAAGAGAGACTTAGATTAAATGTTAGTAAGAAATTCTTTACTGTGAGGGTGGTGAGGGTCTGGAACAGGTTGCCCAGGCAAGCTGTGGATGCTCCATTCCTGGAAGTATCCAAAGCCAGGGTGGATGGGGCTTTGAGCAACCTCATCTCATGGGTGGCACCCTTGCCCAGGCAGGGGGTTAGGATGAAATGATTTCTAAGATCCCTTCCAATCCAAGGCATTCTACAATTCTATGATGATTTCAGTAGGACTGTTTATGTCTCAGGTTCAGTAAAGCCCATACAACTCTGGGAGACGCTTTAATTTCAGTGTGATAGAATTGCAATTTCTGAAGGAAAATAGTTATTTTCCCTTTTTTTTTTTTTTTTACTCTTTATATCACAGGTAACATAATTACAGACACAGAAGACTGTATATTTATCATTCCTTGATGCCCAGGGCAGTCATTTGCAGTGATGTAAAACAGGTTAAAGCCCTGTCACATGGACACAGTAAGATTTTACATGACTACTGTGGCAGCTCCCCCAAAGTCCCTGGCAGGACCAGAACCCCAGGCTCAATGAAGTACAGTGCAAACACACAAAAAGAGAGAATGTCCAAAAGAACAGACCAGAAACAAAACAGGAGGATGAACAGAACTACGAAATCAATTTGCCACAGTTCCACAGGAGATCAATTCTAGGACCAGGAATCATCCCAAGGGCAGGACACACCAAGCTTTGCACAGGTTTGCACAACTGTAAGCGAGCAGACACTTTAAAATCAGACTCACCACATAGGGAAAGATGGGTTTGGGGCACCAAGAGTCGAGACATAGGTGCCAAGAGCCTCCTCTTTACAGCTCACAGCTGCACCCCTGCTTTCTGTGGCAAATCAGCACCAAAAGAGCATCATCACTAGACAGTGACATCATTTAATACCTTTGCATTCTTAGTGCACCTGGCCAAGAAAAACAGCAAGCATTCTATGTTGATTTGGGATGCAGGACCAATGCTCTCAGGATTTAGCTATACTGCAGGATGAGAAGCCTGGGGAGACCAGTGCTGGGTAGAAGAAAAGAAATAGCCAGCGAGAGGGTTAACCTAAACAATTGCAAGAAGACTGACAGTGATGGCCCTTGGTGATAAAAACCAGGTGCAAAAGACAAAATTACTTTAACACTCAGAAGCAACTAAAAAAAACCCACAGGAACATGGACAGACATTTATGTTATCCTTGTGTGGACACAAGGCAGCAACGTGCAGAAGGTGAACAGCTCAGGCTGTAACCATCTGAAGGGCTCAAGTGACAGTCCCCAAAGCTGCTGGAGAAACTCAGCTACAGTGGGTGCAGCCTCTCAGCAATCTGTAGGCCCATCTTGGTATTTCACATTTCACACCATGGGATGTGTGCTCCTTTCCACACAACCAGCGATGCCAGCACAGCAATGAGGTGACATCATGACTCAGGCAATGCCATCAAGTCACAGCACCCAAAGAGAGGAGCTGGAAGCTGAAGGGACAACTTGCAGAGCTGCACCAACTTTTCTCCCTCCTGATGCTGTTGGCATATACTAAAAATACATGGCTGCTGTGGAAGATACCTGAATGAAAAATAACAGGATTTTTATTCTAACCCTAGGAGCTGCATGGCTGAAGTCAATGAAAAATCTGGTCTGTGATCCCTACAAGACAAGTCACATCCTAGGCTAAAAAGCCACCATCAGGCCCAGCAGAGCTGTGGACAGAAAATCACCATGACCTTCAAGTCCATCACCAGGTGCTGGCTCTTTTGTGTCCCTTCAGATTCAGTTAAGGAGAAAAGGCATTAAATCCCCAGCAGATCTGTGGTTTAGGACTCCAGCCATAAAAAGGGAGGGTTTGCCTTACTTATTTTTACATTCCAGTGATATATAAATAAAGAATATAATCTGCTTTTGAGGATTTAAAATCTATAGATCTTGCTGTCCATTTTAAGGTGCTTGGCTGGTAGCAGCACTGGATCTGATGTGACAGGTTGATTTTTTTCCCCCTCACCTAATGTTTTAGGGAAGAAGGAGCACAGGAACCAACCTCCTGCACTCAGGCACCTGTGTATAGAGGCAGTGCCTTCCACCCAGGGGTTGGTTTGTAACAAGAAGGAGAAGAGAGAGAAACTTCTCTCCAAACTCGCACACCACCTGTCCAAGAGGTCAGCTTGCCTCTGGCTGGCTCTCTGGCACACAACACAGTGGATTTGGGCTGTGAAACTTGCACGCTGCAGTGCATCTGTAAAAATAACAGCCACCACAAAAACGAAGGGGGAAGGTCCGGGTATCCTGCAAAATGTAACTAGCAGGAATTAAAATGTAAAAGAAACACCCTCCGGGGTCTTCACAGAAGCTGTAAACCCAGGCAACTGCTTTGCCAGGTGTTACTGTGCAGCGCCTGCTGTTAGAAGTGACTCTCTGCTGGCACCTCGCCTGCCCCATCTTCCCAGTGCCCCTGAGCCCACTGGGCAGGCAGTGCTGAGCTGGCCAGCCGGGGAAGTTATTAGCCAGCCCTGCTCAGCAAGGGCAGCACTGGCGCCGGGCTTTGAGCAGCTGAATGAAGTGTTGTCATTTCCCAGCTGGGAGTGGGAAAAAGCACAGTGCCGCTTCCTGATGCTGTTATTTTATTTTGCAGCGGCTTCCCCTTCCCGCTGTCTGAATGTCACAGATTACTTCACTGCTGTGCGAGCCTGGGAGAGGGGAGCAGAGGGGGAAGGGAAAAATCTGGCAAGTGCTTCCCAAGCTGCCGGCATCCCCCATGCCCCAGCACAGAAAGCAGAGGCTGGAAGGGATGGGTGGCAAGTTCACCTTTTGGGAAGCAAGAGCCAAGCACAGGTCAGTAACACACCTGCCATGGTCTGCTAACACCCCCAGAGCCCACAGCCCTCGCTCCCATCTCTTTAACCCCTCTGCACTAAGGCTGGGGATCTCTTGCTGGCTCAGGAAATACAAGCCCCAGGCTGGCTGCTTTTTGGAGCCTGTCAGCAGCGCTCTTTTGTCAAGCAGAGGCCTTCCTGTCGAGTGATACAAAGTGCTCGCTCTCCTTTTCCCCTTGGGATCCGCACACGCTTCCTCCCAGCCTTTGTCAGCCCGAGGGAGCGGGGCAGCTGGCAGGACTCCCGAGAGCCTGGCAGAGAGGGACAGCACTCTGCACAGCCCACAGCTCACCCCTGCACTGCAAAGGGCCTGGCCAGGGCAGGCACTGGGGAACTGGGGACACCAGGCTGGAGAATGGCAGAGATCAGCAGCGAGGGTGATCAGAACAAGCGCAGCCACACCATGATTTCATACAGCTTACAGAGAGATCCATCCCACAGCAGGACTCAGGGTCCAGCCAGGGCTGGAGTGAAGCTCTGAGAGAAATAACAAGAATAAGAAACAAAAGAGACATGGCATGATTTCCCCAATGAAACAGCAGTGAGAATGTCAAGTGAGCAGCAGCAGTGAGAAGGTCAAACTCTCGCAGCACACAGGAGAAGTCTCTTTCACCAGAGCATCCTTGTCCTCACTCATCTCTGAAATTTTACCTAGCCATGGCCCTGTTTTGGGAAATTGATTCCATATTGGCAAATTGACACAGCTGGGGTAATGTAACACTGAGCTACAATGCTGTCACTACCAGCCAGGTCATATTCTCCTTCTCTTGCTGCTTGGTTTGGTGGAAGCTCTTCCCTCTGTGCCTTGGACTTGTAAAGCAGGGACAAGGGTGCCAGCTACGTCTGTAAAGCATTTTAAGACTTGTCCACTACAAGGTGCAACACCCATTAATTTCAGCAGGACTGTTGCCTGAATAAGGCAGCACTCAGAGCTCAGAGGGTAACCTGAGGCTACTAAAATCATCCTTTGTTTTCAGACAAAAAGAAGATGCAAATTAAAGTATTCTGCCTAATTTGTTCATTCTGAACAAGATGAAAAGGATAATTAAACAGCAGAGATCAGGGCAGCATGAAATACCATCTTGACAGTCTTGTTTGCAGGTTCCCCATATAATTGTCATGTCAGAAACAACTGTCATATCTACAACATCTAGTAAGAGCTGTGTATGAGGAGCAATTAAATTTAAAACATTTGTGATTTCTAAGCTTAAAGAGCACATTGAAATCCCTGCAGAAAATGCAAAAAGTTAGACTTGAT